TTGTAGCGCAGCTGTCCGCTGTGCCTGTAACATGAGTTTTCTGGCAAAAACAAGACACAGTCTGTGTTTCAGACGTTCTTGCCTCCACGTCCGTCAGCTGTGCTTTCAGTGTCGGCACCTGGCATGGGTTAAGCAGTGCCCCAAGCACCACGCTTGAATGTCTCCCACTGTGCCTCCGCTGCTTCTGTTTTCAGCCGCTCAATTTCTTGCTGAAGTTGCTCAGAGGTAGCTTGGGCTTGAGCTGCAGCCGCCTCTGCAAAGAGCTGAGTGAAGTCAACCCAGAACCCAGGGACCCTGGGGTGGACGGCCTTCAAGTTGGCAAGCTCTGCGCGCAAATCAACAACCTGCCACGTTCACACCGAGATGGACTCCGTGGAGCATTAAGCTTCGAGAGGCTGGGGGAGCATGAAGATATGATGCAGCAGAAGCCTCTGCCACCTCAGCTTTAGCCGCGTCCAGCTCCTTACACGGAGAGGAAGCAAAACGTTCCGATTGTGTTGACCTGACTCCTAAACTCGCCATCTGCTCCGAGCCGCGTCGATCCTTCTGCAGCTGAGCCACTGTCTGAAGGGCGCTCACGTCTGGCGAGCCGTTGGAGTCGGCCTGGCCGTGCACCGACTCCGACTTAGGGGCGGTTCTTCAGCTTCACTTCGTTATCTTCGTTAACACTTCCTCCCGGATGCAGAATGTAGGAAACTGGGTGGGCGTGTCAGGAGTCGATTGCAACGACTCTGGCAGAACACTACCTAACTCGTCCGACAGCCTTCGCTTTCTCGAGCTCTTGGTTGAGCGCGAGCACCTGCATTCCAAGGCTCAGCAAAAATGCTTCAGTCAGCTGCGATTTTGCTACAAGCCCAAGTCGTCGTGGACCCGTGGAAGGACAAACTGCGGCCTTCGCGTTGCAATCATCTTTCAGCTTTTGGAACGTCTCCCGCGTCCTCTCCTGGATGCGCCGTGAAAGAAAGTGATGGGTGCCGGAACGGGGCTTGCAGGCGGCGGGCGGGGCCTTGAGCCTTTGCTGCTCTGCGAGGCGCTTGTCCTGCTCCTGCTTCAGCGCGGCCTTTGCAGCACGACCCAGAAACCAGACGAGACAGGGTTCGACTGCTTCCATAATGTTGCCTTTCGATGGCATGTGTGTATGTGGAGTACTTTTCCAAAGTCTTGATACATCGCCTTACGCGTTCTACGATGTTCTGTGAAGGCCATGGATGCTCCGTTTCGTCGCAACGACGGACGTCACCTCTTGCTGATTCACGGTTCGGCGATGCTTTGCTGCATGGACGGGTCAGCGCGAAGCGCAACTCTTCAGAGCCGAGAGCAGATAGATACACTCGCACTCCGCGACCGCCGGAGCGGCATTCACACCCTCGCACACTCGCACTTCGCGAAAGAGATCCTGCCGCCGTTGGAGTGGATCCCGATCCACCCGCGCGTACCCGGGTGGCCCACCCGAGCCACAACCCTCGGGGCTTTTGCGCAGTGTTGGGCTATATGATATAGTCGAATATACTATACTACTATACTATATAAAGCATAAGGAACGATCAGATAGTGCAAAACGGAGATCTCACGAAGAGCTGCTCGACTCCCTGCTCTATGTGCGTGCTCACAAGATCTCACAAGTGCACAACACCCGAATGCATCTCAATCTCCGCTCTCGCCGGAGCAGTCTAGGAGCTGTCTAGGAGAACATAGGAGAACTGGCTTGTGTCCGAAGGAGGGCGCAACGCACCACGGCTCTGGTACACTCCCTACCCCCGTCCTCCAGCTTGTCCTTCTCATCCTTCAGAGAATCGAAGTCCTCCTGAAGGCGAAGGCTGGCCGAATTCACAGCTCCGCACGTTCTGACACAATGTGCAAGAAAACTGAGGCGGATAGTCGGAGAACTTAGCGGCTTGCCGATATGAAGATGCCATAACATGTACCAGGAATGCTTGTGGAATGCCTGCGGAAGTGCCAGTCCCCGCAGTGCCGATTCACAGGGAAACAGGTTTTGCATCCCATTCCGGCACTGTTCCTACATACGTGTTCAGTCTCTTCTACTGCTACCAGGTGATGGTTGGGTCAAAGAATCCCGCACAGCAAAGATACCGTACTGTACAACTCAAGCACTGCCACGGCCATTGTACGTGAGTAGGAGATACGCTGCAGCCTGCATCACTTGCACTGCGTTTTAAACCGATTGTGGCGAGGGACATGAGAACATGCTTTCAGGGTTCGGGGACAGGCAAGAGCTTTGCACAGTAGCCACCATCCGTGTTTTAGAGTTGCAGGATGAAAGAAAACAGTCCTGCGAGGGCGCCATGGAGCTTGAATTCACAAAGCTCAGGTGACGTAAGCAATGCCCGATAATGCCCGTCTAGACATCTCAATGCAAATCAACTCCTCCAGCTGTGAACTATCAGCGGTATCCATCCCTGTAAGTTCATGGCACCTCGTCCGCAGAATCTGGACGTCTAAGACCAGTGCTGAAAGTGATGCTCTTAGATGGCTCTGGGGGGCTTGCCCCACTGAGGCAAAAGAGCCAACGTTCGCGAGGCGCGCAACTGCACTGTGTGGCACGACGGAAGTTAAAGGTCGCAGCGCTCGGTTGCACACCGTTTTGGCGTGACTTCGAGATGCCCCTCACCTATCCACATGCCCTCAAGAAGAAAACAGGGGGGCAACCACAGAAGCAACAGCAATTCCAGAAGGGATGAACAGCAGCATCCTGTATATCAACGCATGAGTCTATTGATCTCGCTGGATGTCACCAGTTCATCCCTACACGAAACCTTACAAAAACTTGAAGCCCGCAGCTTCCCGCGGGCTGGCATGTAAGGTGGACCTACGCATGGGGAGCAAGTGCGACATGCTGAGACGCATCCGACGCATGGCCTGAGCTTCTACAAGCACCACCGCTACAACTGCGTATCAGCCATGGCATGCAAATGCTCTCCAACATAAACGAAATACGGCCCGGCAATCACTGCCAGGTCGCACATCCAGACATCAGCGAAGCACTGGGACAATAAAACAAAGCGCGAGGTCGTTTCAGCGACCGCGCTGAGGTCTGAGAGCTCTCCTGGACTGTACGGCCGTGTAGAGATTTCTGAAGTGATGGATGGGATTTCTAGGCGCCGAATGCAGCTCATCCAGCCTCATCCTACCTGCCGGCCAACCTCCTGGAGGCGGATGAAAGCCTGTGCGTGGAGCAGACCAGAACCTTGCCCTAAGCAGCCCTGACCTCCAACCCCTAAACCTTAATCCACAAAAATGGATGCAATTCACGTGGCATGAACCGGTCTTGCGGCAGGACCACGGGTTGTTATTGCAAGGATGGTCATGCCATGTCATGCATATCACGGGTTTTCAAGGGTAATCATGCTTATGCTGAGATGCAAGGCATTCCAGTGGCATTCCAATGGCTCGCCAAGTGCCCGGCGGTCTTCCCCTTCTTGTAGGAATCGAGGACCTGGCAAGTGCAGTGATAGCGACTCGAAGCCGATCTTGCCAACTGGCCTTGAGCTGGGTGCCGGGAAGCAAGATGCTCTCTGCTTCGTTGGAGTAGAAGCTCAACTGGGCGGAGCTATCATCCCCACTTGAATCAAGCCGTATGCAAGGCCAGCCTCGGAAATTTCACACGCCGTCTGCGTCTCAACTGTTAGGAGCGTTGACCTGATCTGCAAGATGCAAAGCTTGGTCCCAGCTCTGCCAACTTCTCGCGACTGCTATGGTCTCTAAGCTTCAAGCTACATGCCTGCAGGCAGTCGCGAGGAAAAGCTGCGGAGTCTGAGAAACTAACGGTCCTGCGCAGCCGCTGGCAAAGTTCTTTGCGACCTTGCTTCGGAAGGGTGCAAGCTTCACTTGCACAAGACTGTTACAACGAGGGGATTCCTGATCATGTTGCAGCAGTCATTGTCCGACATCCCTTTGAAATAGATTCCCACGTGCACGTGCCTTCTCGTCAGAGGTACAGCTTGAAACACCCCACCATGTGATGGTGCTGCCAACCTACCACGCAAGCCAACGCATGGGCAGAAAGTGCAGGAAGAAACCGTCGGAGGCCCCGCAGCCTGTCAGCATCGCAGCGAACGGTGCGAGCCTTGTACTGGTCAAAGAGGTCAACTCCAACTCCGCGCCAGAGAGTAACTTTTCGAACTGGGAGCCTCTCAGAGTCTTGACTCAGCTTCCACAAAAGCCTCGCGTGCGCACCGTGCCGGACCGTGCCTGCCACAGGCCTCGAAAAGCATGCGTAGGTACGGGAAGTAGGAGCCGACCTGGAAGAAGGGATTTAGGTTCACGATGGTTCACGGTCAGGGTGTCTGCGTCCCAGGTGTGCATGGCCCTGGCATGCCCTGGCCTTGTCTCGATCTTCGTCGCGCAGGGCCTGGCCAGGAAGAATTCAGCACTCTTTCTTGAGACGGTACTCTCTGGTGTCTGCAGTCTGTAGGGTTGTGCACAGCGCGCCTTGTTTAGAGCCTGGTAGATGGCGTTGCCGGTGTACATCCTCAGACATGCTTCTCACTGCCGCTGACATCAGACGTCGCGGCCCATGCCACCCTTCCGTCACGCGACCGGGTATGCCAATAAATGGGGGTTGTTGATGGGCAACTGCACACACTGGCTCAGCAACTAGGTCACAGGCAGAATGGCTCCATACAGTTCATGGTCCATTGGCTTCAGTGGCTTGCCAGCTTTCTTCTTCTGCGCAACAGCGAGCCCATGAGCACAAAGGCCGGAACACAGCCAAGGCGATGTCTGAACTGCCTTAACGAAGCCTGTGGGTACCGTGCCTATCCTCTCACTTGCCAGAGGTCCCGCCTCCAGAACCTTGCCCTTCTTGGTGCAGCTATCCACATCCTCCCGTGCTGTGCCAGCATCGCAGTTGGGTAGCGTAGGTAACTCCGGTCGCTGGCCTTCTTGCCACAAATGCCCTTGCAGCCCTCTTGCAGCGTGCCCGGCAGCTCAAGTTGCATGACTCCGGAGATCGGTGTGAGTTTCTCCTGAATGTCACAATGTCAGGCAACCTTGTTGCACGGAAAGCCGTGATTGAACTCCTCGTCTTCTCCTCCGCCGATCTCCTCGAAACCCATGCCTTGCGTGGCATTTCGGTGTGTCCGACAGTCACACTTTGCGATTTACGCCTACGCTGGACATTTAAGGGAAAGACGCAAGTAGAACTGGAGGAGGGCACGCTCAGCTCCGAGGAGGTCCTACGAGTAGCAAGTCAAGGTAGCCGCAGGTAGAGAATCAAGTCTAGGCCCTAGGCTCCTGTGTGTCGATTGGCGGAGGTGCCTTGATGCCGAAGTTGTGCGGAATGAGGGCATAGAACCTACCGTGGGGCTCACCACGAGATAAGGGGTCGCATCCAGGCAGGAAGACTCCGTAAGTTCTCTAAGCCCCCAGCTCCGCGGATTCAGCCTTGACCTTCCCCTTCTGGACCGGGCTCAGTGGGGCTCCTGACACCCATGGGCATCAACCGAGGCTTGAGCTGCACACAAACTCTGGCAGAGACTGGCTGCTCCGAGCTTTGCTATTTGCACGCGTGTTGGTCGGGTTTGGGCATGTAGAGGCCGCACGCAACCCGTCTATGTTTTGGCCGCGTCCACATATGCAGGCTAGGCTTCATGCGCCACTGGTAGCTCTAATGGCGTGTGGAGGCCACATTTTTTGACCAGATACCGCAACAGGTAACACTCCTCGAGTCTGGCATGAAAGACAGAACCGTCCACACGACAGGCACCAAAGTTCGAACTGATCTCACGAGAACATCCTGACAAGGCCGTGTGGTGAGGGCAGGGAAAGGCAAGATTTCAAAGGAACCTTCCACAACCTCGGACAGAATGGACTCGATCTTGTCCTCGGGCCACTGGGTAGACTTAGACATGTCAATGTGAACGTGGAGATCCTGCGCCGAGAAAAACTTATGTCGCAGACCCTGTTGAAGTGATACCTGTTCCCACAGCGCGCTCTCACAGACTCACAGAGCCCGCGGCAAGGACAGCGTTTCCCTTCTCGACAGCTGCCTGGCGAAGCAGAGAGAAAGAGACGGGCCTGCCGCTGCCCACATCTCTGAGGTTTCGGGACAGAGGGAGACAGTCTGCGCTTGGAACTGCAGGCTTCAAGACCGAGAGGCCTTGGACAGCTGACCCAAAGGCTGGCCGTCCTCAGAACAGGGTGCAAGTCGGCTGCGGAAAGTTGACTGTTTTGCAGGCAGTTGAGCTAGTCTACAGACGCATTTCTTGGCTCTTGGTCAGGTTTGAACCGGGGATTGCAACAACAACGGCTCTTGTCAGTAGCAGCCCCATCCTGAACTTCGTCTTGTGACGGTTCGGGCTCCTCGTCACATCCCGTCGCGTATCTCATTTACGAAAGCATCGAATCTTCGCGAGTCCTCTTCGTCGGTCTTCTGCTTCTTCTTCTGCAATGCCTAGTGAGGAACAGGGTTCGGGGCCCATCAATGACCGACACGAGGCCCACGGGCTCGGCCTTGTGTGCCACATCGACGCGGCTAAACTTTCCGGGCTTCTGCCTCGGTCAACTTATACTTTACATCTGTCACGGGCCAGGACATACAGGAACTGCTAGGAGATCGCACAGCCGGGCCACACAAACTCCGAGGGCTTGTGGCCGTAAGTGTTTCCAGTTTTGTCCTGTGAGCACTGCACCGAAGCAGAAGCGCTGCGGACAACCACATCAGCTCCCATTCTTGTGCCGAAAGAAGGTTGCTAAGCACCACTCGAGATAGAGCTTGCTGAACTGCCGGACGGCTGCTGCTTGGTCGGAATGGAACCTCTAGGACAAACCGACAAGATGGCTTGGAGCACCCAAGGATCGCTGGGGCACAAGCTCCTCAAGCTTCGTGCCACCCTGGCTCACACCTGTGCTGAAGATCTTTCTAGTTGTAGAGACGCCGACATCCTGTCAAGCTGGTCCGGCCTATGCGACCCCACTTCCTCCACACCCAGTAGCAGCTGCCGCCGGAGTCCTTCACTGAGTGGCCATCTGCCACGACGACCAGAGCAACTGCGGCTCCGCTCCTTGTCAGACTCCAGCACATAAAGCCTGGGGCGATTCACTGGCTCGGGAACACCTGCCCTGTGTTTATCACGACGGCTAGTTCTTAGGCACACGGGAGCTCTTTGACAGGCCGTTCCAGAGCACAGCCCGCAGCGGCAGGGCTCCGCGCTTGTAGAAGGAATTGGAGCCCGAGGTCATGTCCGTGAGGCTCAAGGTCTCGCTGTACACGCGGTTCTTCGGCCTGAAAGAACGGAGAGCTTCTCTCTGGTCGCAAAGAAAAAGCCCAAGCCTTCATTAGGCGGCTCTTTTTGGGCGCTCTACATCGTTTTCTGCTGTTAAGGGCCTGTCGATCAGCACATGAGCTCGTTCGATCAGCTCTCCAATGTCTGTGTCCATTGCAACGCCTTCCTTTTCAACCTGAGTGCATGCATGTCGGCAAACTATGGCAAGCTCGTCATCTCGCCTGCGGAACATCAGTAAGGAACGAGGAAATCAAAGAGTGGATTACGACCCGAATGTCAGTCTTGGGCTCAAACAGTCTTAGCCGTGCCCGTTTCTGCGATGGCTCTGAACCTATGGCAACCGGAATGCAGTGCCCAACATCCTACTTAGACCTTGCATTCAATGAAGTGTTACGCACACACCAAGTTCCCTGCATGCGGGGTGCTTCACCCCAGAGTAGATGCCTGAAATGACAATTGCATGTTTTACACCAGCTGCTGACGCCGACTGCCCGTGCATCATCGAAGTGATCTGGCAGACACGCCCACGGCAAGAGTCTTTGTAAAGTCGTGGCAGGTCCACGCAGTCATGTCGGTGGTGGTTCCGGCCTGCAGGCCGAGTCAATGGAGCTGACTGGCACTCGATGGCATGAGGCTTCAGATCCAAAGGTAACATCATGCAATATCTCACCTTCAGGTTGTCAAGGAAGCTCTTCTCGACCCCAGGGACACCATCACTCTTGGCTGCCTCCACAAGCTTTGGCTCGGACCAGCGCTGCCCCACTGCAGAGTCTAGACAGCACCCTTCGGTTGCGGGCTCCTTCGCCGTAAATTCCCTAAAGAGATCGGCACATGCAGCATATGGTAAGCTCCCGAAGAGACAGACTTTCCGAAGATGAAGCTACATGCCTGCGTGGACTCCGTGCCTGCTCCCACTACAACTCCGATCACGACTACTAGTCACCACCAACACATGACATACCAACACCCCTGCCAAAGACCGCAAGTGCCTCGGACGCGTGTGCGGCTACTGTGTCCACTGACCACCACCACACGCCGCTCTGCTTGCTGAATAAGAATACTTTTTGTCACGACAAGTGCTAGAGTACCAAGCGCGGCGAGCTTGCATGCGTTGGGCATAGGGCGAGGATGATGGGACTGTGGCGACCACCTTATGGAAGCTACTGGTACGGACAAAACCCAGCACCAACTCTTTGCTGCTTCGTGCCTCCTTTTCCTCGGTGTCCGATTGAATAAGCTCGGGGGAGGACACAACGAAGCACGTTGCCTCTGAAAGTGCTGGTTCTCCCATCTTCATGACCAGACTTTCCGGGGTGGCCTTCGTAATGGTCGTGCAGATCTTGCCCATGTGAGACTTCACGAGCCCCTTGCTTGTCCGGACGTGGAAGGGGGTGAAAACGAGGCTTCGACACTCTTTGCAGCCCGGTTTCTTCAATCTCCTTCCTCTCGTCAGCTGAGAAGTCCTTCCAGATGCACTTGGGATGTCTTGGCATCTCTCCCTGAACCATGGCCTTGGACACGTAGACGCTCAAGTTCAGCAGGGGCGGCCTTGCTTGCGAGCTGGAGCTCGACCTGACATCTTCAAAGTCGTCTGCAATTAGTTGCCGGTCGGAACCTGCAAAAATACGCGGATCTCGAAACTCGATTCGCCCGTTGCATGCCCCAGTCGCTGGGAGGGCATTGTGCCATCCGCGGACATCTTCGTGGCGAAGAGTCGGGTTCCCACCTCTGCAGAGACCAGGGCAAAGAAAGCCGCTTTGGTCCCTGGCTTCTCCGATCTCTGCCTTCAGCTTCAGCTTGCCCAGCTTGCCGTTTGCTGCCCTGGGATACAGGTCTGAGGACAGCAGCGATGAGAAATCCCCGGACGCATGAATCCAGCATGCTTCAACTTCACATTTCTATACGGGACTTTCAATCTGGCTATGCAAACGGCACCGCAAAAACAGTGTAGTGTGCATGGCCCAGATGGCCAGGATGCTGTTCGGCTGCCGGGGTTAGCTGCCACATGTCGCGCCCCGGGCTCTGGGTCCTTGGAGGGTGTCAAGATTTCTCGAGTAGGTGGCTACAGTTAAAGAGGCCACCAGTCGGTGCATCCAAGCTTCTGGAAATCACATTTCAAGTGGTCTGTCATCCATCCGGTGCCTCATTGTCCAGCAACTGCCTCGCCCTCTGAATTCGAAATTTGCGCGCCACTTAAATGAACCACAGTTTGAAGTTTGATTGTCCAAATGGCATTTGTACACCTCTCCATCCAGGAGGATGGTACCGGCCCTTCCGTGATCCTGCCGCGTTGCAAGATCTCTCATGCAGTTTCGCAGAGGATATCTGCACTAATCCGTTGCCTTGCTTCAAGGCCCTACTCAAAGCATACTGGCTGTCCGAGTCCTTGCAGACCTCGCAAGGCTGCGTCGCACCAAATAAGATGCCATCTGCGCACAGCTGCGCCAAGGTGCCTCATCTGTCAGGAAAGAATACATTGAATACATCAAGACCTGAAAGTTCTACCTTGCCCTCTTGCGCAAGATCGCAGCACATGCCCTCACACGATAAGTCGCCATCATCGGGCACGCCCATGAAGACGTTTGTCGGGCGTCTACTCCAAACTTGTTCCTGCCCCTACCATTCAAGCTGGGGCTGGACTGACGTGGCAACTGTAGTGCTCCCCATGAATCACCAAAATGCTCCAGCAATGCAGCCTCACCACATCACAGGCTCTTGCAGTCAAGCTGCTAGAAACATGCAGCTTCTGCGAAGGGTAGTTGTTCAAAGCCTCTGAGCTACATGTGTCTGCGAGGCATCAAACGTGAAAGAAGGCGGTATGCACTGGAAGACAAATCTGAGCATCTCGCTGCCATCTCGCCGAGCTGCTTCGGCTGCATCCTGAGCGAGGGATCCGTATGGATCCCACATGATCTTTTCCGAACACCGAACAGGAGCTGCTGCAACTGCGTGGAGGCAGGAAGGGAGTGTGGAGGCCAAGTCAATCACCACACACTCGAACTGTCCTGTGTAGCCAAGTACACAAATCCTTTGCACCTGCTCTTCTTGCGCTATCGTCGGTCCGTTCTGATTCTTGTGCGGTCACGGTGGTGCACATAATCGCATCCTAATCAAGGCCTGGTGAACCACGACTTGGCGCTTGGCTGATTCAAGACGTCTAAGACCTCGTGCAGTTTTTTGCCCTGCGTGGCCCTGAGAATGCAAAGTCTGCGGGGCAGGTGGAAGACCAGCGCGCTTCGCAAAATCTTGCGGACGGGCGACAGCTTTGAATCACTGGCTCCTGCGCCCTCCCCTTTGGGGATGATCTTCGCGATGGCCTCATGTCGAGAAGGTGGATGATGACACAGGAAGAGCTACAGAACTGCATCTGTATGCGAGAGCTCAGCAGGTCCTTCTGGTCAGCGGGCTTCAGACTCGAAAATCCCGAGACTATGTTCACCGAGCTTGGCAGGATGTTCCCCGACCTGGCATTCAAGATGCTCTCTTCTGCTTAGGGCTTTTGGATGCAATGCAAGAAAAAGGGGTCAAGAAACAGAGAAACCGATGTCCCTCGACCAAGGCACAATAGGGCAGCGGCATGGTACCATATGGTCATGTTGCCATCGAATGAGTCGGACTTTACCGTTTTGCCGAACCTGTGCCCATCGAGTAGTTTGTTTTGCAAGCTAAATCCGCTCCGTACCCTGACCACATTCCTGGCCTGAGAACCCCGGCTGGAATTTTCTCCTGGCCCGCGGCTGGCTCTGTCAAGCGTAAGAAGACTCGCGAAGGCTTCCTAGAGCTTGCCGATGCAGTGCTCCTGAGAGATTCTGCACGTTGAGCGGCCAGACTTTGCGTACTCCACACCTTCCAGCCAGCCCATCATGCAGAGATTCAAAATTTATCACTGCCGCTTTCGGTAGCCCCTGGATAGTCCAAGGGCTCTGCTCCACTCACCATCTTCGTAGAAGATCTCGCCATCTGCAGGAGTGATGTCCTTACAGCGGGTTTCGATTGCTGCCCTGTCCGGACTGGACTGCTGCGTGGGGTGCCGTCTTTGTTCAGGATGCGGCATCCAGACTAGTAGGCAAGGTGGACGCCTCTTCTTGGCTGGCCTTCTGGCTAGCCTTTGGAACGTGCTCTGCGATAGTCAAGTCATTTTCCCCATGCACTTCTGAGCACTGTCAAAGCCTGCTGGATTCAACGGATGCAATAGAGTTCGTGTTCGTGTTCATGAGACTGAAGCGCCCGCCTTAGCCTTTGCCTTAGCTTTAGCTTTGCCCGCCGGCTCCTGCGAAAAACTTTGCATTCAACAGCGCCAAATTCTTGCTCCTCGAGTCCGGAAGCCGAAGTCCTCATCTTTGGAGGCGCGGCCTTTTGCTTTAGCTTTCGGGCTCGGAGCTGGAGGCTCCTCCTCCTCCTTCGACGGCTAACTCGAATAAGATTTCAAACCTACGGTACTGGTAGCGACCACGGCAGCGGTGGTAGTAGTATACCCCTAGTAGTAGTAGTAGTAGTA